TATGTGTATAGATATATATGTATATATATATGTGTATAGATATATATGTATATATATATGTGTATAGATATATATGTATATATATGTGTATAGATATATATGTATATATATGTGTATAGATATATATGTATATATATGTGTATAGATATATATGTATATATATGTGTATATATATATATATGTATATGTATATATGTATATATATATGTATATATGTGTGTGTATATATATATATATGTATATGTATATATGTGTGTGTATATATATATATGTGTGTGTGTATATATATATATGTGTGTATACATATATATATATATATATATACACACACTATATGGAATATATGTAACTCATATTGTATGAAATGTCGTTACATGTGAATATAAAGATGTTATATATTTTATATTTATTATTTTTACAGGAGAGAGCTTCCCTTCACAAAAACTGCTCACCTGTCAAACCCCTGGAACGAACACAAGCCGGTGAAGATCGGACGTGACGGACAGGTGACCTCACCTTTACCTTTATTTTGGTTCATTTTTTTGTGCTACATGAAAGGTTTTGAACTACTTTTGTCTCTTTTTAGGAGATCCAACCGGAGATCGGCGCTCAGCTCTGCGCTTTGTTCCCATTGGACGAGAGCGTGGACATCCACCAGGTGGCTCGCCACGTTCGCCACAAGCGCCGGACGCCGTCGGAGCCGCGACCTCGAGGCCGACCGCCACAACGCGAGCCGGGAAGGTTAGCCAATCACCAAGCTCCTCCTCCCGCTTCCTGTTCTTCTTCTTCTGCTGCTGCGACCGCGGCGCCACCAGCTGCCGGACGACGGAGACAACCGCTGCCGGCTAGCTTCCCCCGTGGCTAGCGTTGCCGGTTCTCTGGTTGTTGTTGTTTGTTTTTCCAGTCGGGAGTTTTCCACCAGAAAAGAGTGACGCCCAAAAAAAAAAGTCAGGCAGGAAGTTAAAGTCCTTGGTGGGGTGATGCTCGTTTAACAGTTTCAGATTAAATCTCAGTTTAATTCTTAATTAAATATTAAGCTATATTATATCTAAGTCTAAGTTAAGCAACAAGATGCACATTTTTTATTTCTATCAGTTAGATTTGTTGCTTTTGTTGTTGCTAAATTTCTCCTTTTGAAGCTCTTTTTCTTTACAGGAGTTTCGTACTTCGGAAGTATAAAAACAAAACTAAAAATCAGAATGTTTGGCTTTTAGCTGGACTGTGGCTGACCCTTTCAGAATAAAAGCTTAAAGGAACGAGCGTCACTGGCTGGACTGACGGAGGAGGGCGTGGGTGAGGGAGGTAAAACTAAAAGAGAGAGAGAGACAGGAAGTGAGGGACTGAGCTCACAGCGGACTGTTTCTGGTTTTTCTGAGGTTTGGTCACACAGGGGGCGTGGCCTCTGGACTATATCCAATGAGAGGGTGAGGAAGTGTCTTTGGGGGCGGGGTTTCCTCGCCTGCTCAAATAAGGTAAAATTACAGGGATGCATAAAGGAAAAGATGGACTCTGTTAAAAAATAAGAAATCCTCTTGGACTGAAAGAGCTTGAAAGGACAGTTATACACCCCCCTCCTCCCCCAGTACACACACAAACACACACTGAATCAGGACAGAGCTCGTGTGTGTCGCTCTCTCTTATGAACTGAAAATAAAAGTGTGTGAGGAAAGAAAAATATGAAAAGTTAAAGAATCCTGAACGGACGGAGCAACAGAACGACGAGAGAAAGTTTTGTCGTTTCTGTTTTATGGACTTGCTGGTCTGGAGGGGGCGGGGCTGGTCTGAAAGGGGGCGGGGCTTTGTTTGTTGATTGAAAGGACTGCACCATCATCATCATCATCATCACCCCGTCCACCCTTTCAAAATAAGAGGGTTTATAAAAAGCCTTAAACATGGACTGATGAGGAGAAAAAACTGTTTTTTTATAATCAAAAGTGTTGTTGACACAAACAGCCCCTCCCTCATATACAACACAAGCGGTATGTTGTCCCTTTAAGAGGCTTCTTCTTCTTTGTTTGTTTTTTTTATTGCTGTGTGTGCGTGTGTGTGTGAAGCAAAATATGTGTAAATGCTGGAGGATTAGGATGACTAGTACGTCACTGGACCGGTAGACAGCAGGAGGACTAAGTAGACGGCAGGAGGACTAAGTAGACGGCAGGAGGACTAAGTAGACGGCAGGAGGACTAAGTAGACGGCAGGAGGACTAAGTAGACGGCAGGAGGACGAAGTAGACGGCAGGAGGACGAAGTAGACGGCAGGAGGACGAAGTAGACGGCAGGAGGACGAAGTAGACGGCAGGAGGACGAGGTAGACGGCAGGAGGACGAGGTAGACGGCAGGAGGACGAGGTAGACGGCAGGAGGACGAGGTAGACGGCAGGAGGACCAGGTAGACGGCAGGAGGACCAGGTAGACGGCAGGAGGACCAGGTAGACGGCAGGAGGACTAGTATCTGACTGGTGATTTAATTGGATGTAGATGTCTTGTTTGGATCTGATGATGTTAAATTGAAACAGGAAGTGATGGCTGAACACCTGTTGATGCCTCTCACCTGGACGACTCGTCAAACCTTTATTACTGGAGAGTAAATCTGTTCCATTGGAAGCTTTTAAAAACAATCTTTTTAAGTAGTTTTGGTGAAGTACTGTGAGTTTCTTCTGTTTGAATTCGACCTGAGTGAGTTTTTTCCGGAGTGTGTAATGTGTGTGTATATTGTGTGCATGTGTGTCTTAATTGTGAACTTGTCTACGTAGGCGTCGTCCTGAAGAGTTCGACCTCCACGGCAGGAAACGACCGCGAGCCGACGGTCCGCCCGACTTCAACCAGCGAGCAGGTCGAGAATCTGAAACATTAAATCTAAGTTTTTATTTAAATAACTAAATGAATTTATAAAATGTAAACTGTGAAACTAACTGCACTCTGTGAAAAGCTGTGTGGTGATATGTTTTTATTTATTTATAAGTTTTATTTATATTTATAAGTATATTCCTTTGAGTTCAAATCGTGAGTGACATTTATTTTTAAATTATATTCAGGAATTTATTTTATTTTAATATTTTCTATTTCTTTTGCTGAAATGTTATTTTTAGTGTTTAATGTTTTAGTGTATTTTGCTGCTTTTAAAGGACCTTTGTTTTATGTATCTTATGTTTTTATGAATTTGTTTTTTATTTTAATTGTTTTTAATGTTTTTATTTATTTTTGTGGCAACGGAACCGTTCGTCTGCTCAGCTGCCAGAGTCACTGATGGAAAAGTAAAATTTAACAGAAGAATCTATTTTATTTTCAGGGTTCATTCAGGACCTTCGTAACCAGCCGGTGGACAGGTGAGACTCACCTGAAACAGGTCACAGGAAGTGGGCGGGGCTACAGCAGCATCAGTCAGGAAAATATGTTGAAAGATTAAAAACTGTGAAAGGAAATCTGGTTTAATTGAAAATGTTAGAATTTTAAAAAACATATTTTACAGTTTGTTTTTATTTGCAACTTTTGAAATGTTTTGAGTATAAAAACACAAACAGAAAGTTATCTTTAACATGAAACCTTTCAAAATAATGTTCAGCTAACTATTGTTAGAGATTGTTCATTGAAGTTTGTTTCTTGTTTTCAGACGTTTCTCCACTGTCAGACGAGATGTTTTTCTCAACGGCGTGAGTAACCTGCTAGCTTAGCTTCATGTTAGCATGTTAGCTCAGGTGAACCTGTGCTCAGTCTTATGACCACAGTTTCCTGTTAGCTTTGCTGTAGCTACATACAGGTGAGTTGAGGTGCGTTCATGGTCTCACCTGTGTGTTCTGTTTCAGTCCTATAACGACTACATGAGGGATTATCACCACAATGTTGGTCCTCCTGCTCCCTGGCAGACTCTGGTAAGACTCTTAGTTATTGATCAGTTATTGACGACAGACTGAACTAGTGATGATGTCATGTGTGTGTCATCAGGCGACGTACCCCGGCGTGGAGCAGCCGCCCCCCCACCACCCCCCATACTACCACCACAGCCACCCCCCTCCTCCCCCCCACCAGGCCTACCATCACCACCACCCTCTGCCGCCGCACGAGGCTCCGCCCCCTCGCTTCAGAGACAAGCAGCGGGCACCGCAGAACCGAGCTTTTACCTCCAGCCCGGTGAGTCTACTGTCGCTCTACTGTGTGGCTCTACTGTGTGGCTCTACTGATGCTCCACTGACGCTCTACTGTGTCGCCCTACTGTCGCCCTACTGTGACGCTCTACTGACGCTCTACTGTGACGCTCTACTGACGCTCTACTGTGGCGCTTTACTGTCGCTCTACTGTGACGCCCTATTGATGCTCTACTGTGACGCCCTGTTGATGCTCTACTGTGATGCTCTACTGTGACGCCCTACTGACGCTCTACTGTGACGCCCTACTGTCGCTCTACTGTGATGCCCTACTGTCGCTCTACTGTGACGCCCTACTGTGACGCCCTACTGTCGCTCTACTGTGACGCCCTACTGACGCCCTACTGTGACGCTCTACTGTGACGCTCTACTGACGCACTACTGTCGCTCTACTGTGACGACCTACTGTCGCTCTACTGTGACGACCTACTGTGACGCCCTACTGTCGCTCTACTGTGACGCCCTACTGTGACGCTCTACTGTGACGCTCTACTGTCGCTCTACTGTGACGACCTACTGTCGCTCTACTGTGACGACCTACTGTCGCTCTACTGTGACGCCCTACTGTCGCTCTACTGTGACGCTCTGCCAGGAGTTCTACTTCCTGATAGTTTACCTCCATTTCTATTTAGACAAGGTGGACAAAATAACAAACACTTCCCAATATAACAGCATCATCATCTACGACCTCAATAATAAACACAAAGTAGAATTATTGTATGTGTATGTATATATGTGTTATTTAACTACAATCAATATTACATGTAATATAGAGTATAATATAAATCAATCAATAATAATATGAATGTTTGTGCATAAGATTTATTTCTAATCTTGTATTTATTTTTTTTAATTCAACAGCTGAATTTTTCAGGAATCAAAATCTATAAAATCTTAACTGATAAGTTATTATTTTTGTCTGACCTGTCTTCTCTCCTGTTTTTTTTTCCCCATCATGCAGCACGACTACGACATGCGTGTGGACGACTTCCTGCGGAGGACTCAGGCGGTGGTGAGCAGTCGACGTGAGCGCGAGCGGCAGCGAGAACGAGAGCGCGGAGGACCCCGCCGCGAGAGAGAGAGAGAGCGGGGAAGGGACAGAGAACGAGAGAGAGAGAGGGACAAGGAGAGGGGGCGGTACCGCAGGTGATCCGATGATGTCACATCCTGTCAGCCTGCAGGGGCTTTTATTTTGACAGTCATCTGGGTTTTTTGCTGGTTTCCTGTTTTGTTTTTTTTGTTATGAATAAAAAACGAGCAACGTGATGACATCATCAGCTGCATCATCACTTTTTATGCTAAAATCAAATATTGAAGAAAAAAAACGGTATAAATATAAAATCTGTTGAGTTTTGTCAAACATTTATTTTGATGATCTCGTGTAACAAAGGAAGTGACATCACAGCACAGGAACAGCCTGATTCCTCTTCAAACTTCACTCTACGTTACCCAGAATCCTCTCTGTGCAGCGTTTGAACAACAGGAAACAGTTTTGTTTTTGTCATGTTTTTAGTTGAGGTTCCCAACATGAGGGTCCCTTTGACGTGTCACAAGATGACAAACAGGAAACATTTATTCCCATTTTTTTCTCTACATTTTGCTTTTATTGTAAAAAGTTTTTTCCTTCATATTAATTGTGAAGAAAAAGAAAATCATTTAAAACATGAAGAAGAAAAGTTTAACTTCCGCCAGATTTTTCTCTTTATTTTTAATAGATTTTTAAAAACATTTTTAGTTTTTTATTCTCTTTTTTTGTTTTAATGTAAATCTGCTACAGTTCATTTATTTATTTTCAGGTTTATTTTGTGTTTCCTGATCAGTGACTGTACTTTAATCATCAGTTTGAAGTGAATCACATTATTATAATTCTTTATTTCTGTATGTCTTTGTCACAAAAACAATAGTTTTCTGTTTTTTTTACTCTTGTTCGCCTCCTGGTGGAGATGACACGTCAGCACACTGTTGTGTCTTCATGAATTAAAAACAACACATGACTTTTTCTTCTCTGATTGGTTGTCACCATGGTAAACACGTCCAGCTGATCTGTTTTATTGTGTATTGATCATCCGGTTAAAGTGTTAAAAGAAAAGATTGAAGGTTAAAACTTTATTTGTTTCCTGTTTCTGAAAGGAAGGAGGCGGAGCTTGTTTTTGTACAAAATAAAAACAATCTTAAATTAGAACAATCAGCATATTTCTTCTCATGTGACAGATGTTTGGGTTTCTGTTTTAGGAGGGTAATGAGATTACTATTGAGGGTAATCGGATAACATTTAAACTAAATTCTATTTTTTTTTTTGAACAAACTGGAACACAAATATTTCAGATGGATCTTAAAACAATGCTACAACATTACAATAACAATATAAATTCTGAAACTGAAAAATATAAGAACTCAAATATCAAAATATATATGAAAATGAAAAATGTATTCAGAAAAATTCCAGAAGTGAATCAAAATTATATTCAACCCAAAAAACCTTTTCATTCACTTATTTCTATTTTGAATACTATGGTAGCCACGTCCCCAATCTAACCTAACCCACGAACCCCAAAAAAAAAAGGTTTGCATTGGCCGGGAATCGAACCCGGGCCTCCCGCGTGGCAGGCGAGAATTCTACCACTGAACCACCAATGCTCTACGAGATGTGATGAGCAGACCTCCGTATTTATGGTCACTAGCAGCGCTGTGGAGCCGGATGAAAAATAAAAAATAACCGATATTCCTTAATTTTAAGAATGTACTAAACTGTTGATTTGGTCAATCCCAAACCGACTCATGGGTCCATGAACACGTCTGCCTATTTAGTTTTGAGCCTCTGGAAATGTGGGTAACTGTAAAAAATGTCTGTAATTCCTAAACGCTTCATGTGATATTGTTGTTTTATCCTTTAAAACTGAAAGTCTTCACTTCAACCACATGTTGAAGTGAATACTTCGTGAGAGATCGTCCGGTGCGCCGTGGGAAAATGTCAAATATTGAGTTTGACATCTCTGGCATATCTGCTGTATTATGACAAAAGGTGTCATTTTGTAACGTTGTTGGTTGTTGGTGTGCCGCGGCTCAGAAAAGGTTGAGATGCTCTTAACACTGACGGCCTGACTGGAGATCAAACATCTATTAAGTCCTTCGGCTCCACAGCGCTGCTAGTGGCCAAAGGTATATTACATCCGTACTGGTTTAGGACTACCATAGGAAATGAATGGAAATGGTTTTAGGGCATTTCAGCTGATCACCAGGTGCCGCCGCGCGGGAGGCCTGGATTCGATTCCCGGCTAATGATTAAAATCCACCTTTGTAAAAAAGAAAACGATAGGTATGCATATATATATGTGTGTGTGTACCCAGCAGGTTGTTCTGAGGGATCCAATCAGAGAGCTTTGTGTTCGCTGCCAAAGTTTTCGGAGCTTTTCCTCTGAACCTCCAAACGACCTTAAAAAAACAACAACACACATTTCACATAAAAATCTTTGATGTATTTAATATGAAAAATTATAAAGGAATGACAAATGTTATTGTTTAATGTTATTGTTTAATGTTATGCACCACCCGCCATGACAAACTCCTTGTAGGTGCAATCGGCAACAAACGGTTCTGATTCTGATTTAAGAAATCATTCAAATGATAAATAATGTAGTTAATGTAGTCACTTCAGGATCTTACTTGCTGAAGTATACATATATACATATATATATATATATATTAGTGCTGGGCAAGTTAACGCGTTAATTTTGCGTTAACACATTCATTAATTAACGCCGACAATTATTTTATCGCGTGTTAACGCATTTTTTTAATTTATTATAATTTTTATTTTATTTTTTATTTTTATTTTATTGAAAGACAAGAGACAATACATATACATAACAACAAGAGGATGACAAGAACAGTGGGATAAAAGCCAGCAAACATCCTATAGTCAGTATAGACAGGGGGGCAGAAATAAAGAGAGAAGCTGCACCAGCTGTTGCTCTCCCTGGAGACTACTGGACATCGCTGCGGTAAAGTCAGCAGACACTCAGATCTCCGTGGTCAACTCAGCAGACACTTACATGTTAGTGCACCTATATGCTGACATTCATGGTAAACGCATTTAAACGGCACAGATTGGGAGCGAGCGAAGGACTTTGAAAGTTAGCAGAAAAATTAATGTGAGACAACATCCGGTTTCTTCAGAAGAACATCCGGTTTTCAGAATAAGATGCCAACAAAGTATGAATTATATTCACATTAAGTATAAAACATGCTACCTGCATCTCGTGAACCAAATGTTATTACCCTTTTGTTCATATAGCAGTACTTTTAAAATAAAAGTGCGCAATACACTACTTTTGAATTCATTATTGAACTTTGCCATAACAATGCGATTAATCGCGATTAATCGCAAAAAATCCATGCGATTAATCGCGATTAAATATTTTAATTTATTTTAATCATTGCCCAGCACTAATATATATATATGTATATATGTTATTCACATGTCTGAGACAGAGTTGACAGGTTGAACTGTCGCCCAAACAGAGCTCAGTTATCAGTCAAGTATATTACATATATATTATATTATTGTATTATAATTTAAAGGTGGAGCTCATATATATTCTGCTGGTAGTTTATTAATCTGTAATAACACAACATCGTTTATTAGTTGATTAATAATCTGAATTTGTAAAGTCACTAAAGTTATTAAATAAATCTAGTGAATTAAAAGTAGAAAGTTGCAGAAAATCAAATAGTATTTCATGTCTTCATTGATAATATTTAGAAGCCCTGTTTCTTTACTGGAAACTGAGTTTTCCCTGAACACACATTTCTCTCTCTGTGTTTGTGGGCGGAGCTTCTGACCTTCTGCGGGATCCGTCCGAAGGCGGCGGCGATGACGTCAGCGCGCTCTGCCGTCAGATTGGTTACCATGGAGCCGAAGGAAACCACCACCACCACGCCGGCGTCGCCCGAACTCTGCACGAAGGCCTCCAGGTCCTGGAACACGTGACATCACCATCATCATCATCAGTGTTGATTTATTGGTAGAATTTCTAAATAAAAAACTTCCTGTCAGTGATCAGAGCCGAAGGAAGTGGAGCTTGTGCCTCTGGCAGCTGATTGGCCGGTTTGCAGTGCAGACCGCCCACGTATTTGAAGTTCGGCGGGATCGGTCGCAGCGTCTCAAGGTATCCAGAAGGATCTGATGAGCCAGATGTCGGCTTTCCCCAGAGTCGTGCAGAAGCTGCTGGGACCTCCTGTCCACACAAGAAACAGCAACCAATGAGGCTTTTATTCTGAAGGGACGGGGCACTAAACTCCAACATCAGTCATTTATTTTTTCACATTTAAAAAAACTTTATCTTCCCTTTTTTAAACTTTGTTTCTTTCAGAATTTAACAGAAACTTTTTTTAAATATTTTTTTTTACTTAAACATCTTTGTTTTTTAATTTAATTTGTTTAATTTTCTGTTTCAAATTCTTTTATTTTCATGTAAAAAAAAAAACTTTTATTTTAGTTCAACTGAAGAGCTCAGCTAACATGTGATCAGCTGTTTGTGCTGTATCATCACATATACACTGTGAACCACTCTCACCTTTCACCTCACTGCAGTACTTATCCAGCGGCCGCCCCAAGAACACTTCGCGGAACGCTGAGATCCAAACGTACGTCAGCATGTTGATCAACCGCTCCACGAACGTCATGCGGTCGCCGTACGTCAGCGGAGACACCGGAACGTAGGACAGCGGCGCCGGCGAGTGGCCGCACTGTCGCTCCAGGACGCCGCCGAACGAGAATCTCAGCGAGACGACGAACGGCAGGCCGAGCACGTCGGCCACCAGGTCGGCGCACATGATCATCGGGTCCAGGAGGACGGCGTCGAACGCAGAGTCGCGCAGAGTCGCCATGAGCTGCTCGTTCTTCAACATGGAGTCGCACTGTTGCAGTCCGAAGTCGACCGACTGATGCATGAAATCACGAAACATCGTAAACTTCTGCAGCGGAGACGAGACGTGAGACTTGTACATCGAGAAGTGGATGAACTCCTCAACGATGCCTTGAAACTCAGATCTTTTATACGGGACCTGGAGAAGAAAAATAAGAAACATAAACTGATTAGTCTGGAAACCACAGAAACAAGTAAACCATGAGGAACATGATGAACATGAGGAACATGAGGAACATGATGAACATGAGGAACATGAGGAACATAAGGAACATGATGCACATGATGCACATAATGAACATGAGGAACATGATAAACATGATAAACATAAGGAACATGAGGAACATGAGGAACATGATGAACATGAGGAACATGATGAACATGAGGAACATGAGGAACATGATGAACATGATGAACATGATGAACATAAGGAACATGATGAACATGATGAACATAATGAACATGAGGAACATGATGAACATGAGGAACATGATGAACATGATGCACATAATGAACATGAGGAACATGATGAACATGATGAACATAAGGAACATGATGAACATGAGGAACATGATGAACATGAGGAACATGATGAACATGAGGAACATGAGGAACATGATGAACATGAGGAACATGAGGAACATGATGAACATGAGGA